GCCCTGGCCGGGGACATTGTGTTATGCTCTTGATCTAGACACTTTACTCTCACAGTGCCTCTCTCCACCCAGGTGTATTAATGGGTACCGGCGACCTTAATGTTGAGGGTAACCCTGCGATGGACTAGCATCCCATCCAAGGGGTAGTAGACAGACACTGGGGTAAGCTCCGGCCTGGTGGGCCACTTGACTCGTATGCATACTTTGCCTTACCTTACTTTTGTTAAGTATGATTTTGCATATCTTAAAGGAGCTACGTCACCGTTTGCGCATCTTGAAAAGTTAAGCCTAAGTTTTTCAAGTTCGTCGTTTGTAATCCTTGTGAATCTTGTCCATCCTTAACCATCCTTGTTCCTTCATTTTTTAATATTGTTTCTTTGGTGTTTTTATATCTTAGTTAACTACTATTTTCAGGTTGCTTCAATATAAATGTGATTTTGTACGTGAACTAAATATCTCAAAATACCGTGACTGAGCTCCTTCAATCTACAAAGATAAACACGAGCGACTCTCGTGACTTGAATGGAGAACGAAAAATAAATTGAAATGGCAGCTGGTGCAGTAATCACTTTCCGAAAAGTAAGATTTGAACAGTAAGATTTTAACAGTAAGATTTGTCCACTGATCCCTACTAGAATTCTTCCACGAACTCTCTCACGGAATTCTGCTTGATAGATCTGATATTTCAGCGGTCTTCTTTTTTATTTGAATTAAGGCTCGATTTAACTCTCGAATGAGAGTAGTTTTTAGTTTAAGCTTAAACCGTAGAAAAGGCATCGATAAGTTCTGTTACTTCTAAATTGTATGCTTTAGTCTTTTTTTCTTCTCGACAAATCATATGTATCCGTCATATTTATTCATTCGAGAACCCACTTAAAATTAGAACACCGGGATAATACGGGATCGACACTTAAGCGTGCCCCTTCGGTGTCCGTATTACCCAGCAGGGTTCCACTATGCTACTTTACAGTGTCTGAAAAACACGCCTAAGCGAGTTTGTTTTACATTTAAATTTGGTTTGACGCAATAAAGAAACTGCCTGGATTGAAAGAGGGTAAAGGTTAGAAATTATGTTATATTATACTTCGTGCGAGCTCGAGTGGCTTAATTAATTGTTAAACACGTCTGCGCCAGTTAGGTCAATACAATGAGATGCAAATTAAACACCAGCTAAGCAAGTTCCTTCGTAGTTTTGTAAGAAAGAAAGAATTTAGAGGTCTTTCAAGTGTGACAAACAAACACAAGAATCAAGTACGAGCACGGTGAAGTTGCGATTAGATGCAAAATTCTACACCTCGTGTGTTCAAGGAAAAACATTGGCCATACCATAATGCCAAATAAAGTAGAGGAGGTTTGAGTAAAAACGAAAAAAATATCTGTGAACGAGAACTCTGTCGTTGAGGAGCTTTAAGCCGGTGGGCCTCTAAAACTGCGAAGTACCACGCGAACCCGAAAGTATTTTGAGTCCTTAGTAGTGGTAAGTTTTCTGAAATCCAAATCTTAAGAGAGACTTACCTTAGTTGACACGACAGAGGTGAGACAAACTTAAATCATCTTTAGGCGGTAAAAGCTTGCATGCATGTTTTCAGATAGCTTTATACTTCTAGTAGACGATCACAATAACATCTTTTGTTTTGATTGAGATCTTACGTCATATTGTACATCGAGTCGCCGGAAAATATGGTTGCTCCGCGACATGTCAACAACAACAAAACACAAACGAATACCGGATCGAAAATAAGGCTGCTTGACATAGTTTCTAGAAAAATTTAAACATGGGAATTTTGAGAAGTTCAGATCCAGGAGATTAGGTATTTCTTATTGCCAACCAGAGAAACAAAAGGCTCTCGTTGATATTCATGATTTGAATCTAACAGACACGCAAAATTACTCCAAAAGGCTTGCAAAATTCTGCCCCAAATCTACAGGAAATCCAGCATACACAGTCGAACCTCCATCAAGCGGCCACCTGTTTAGCGGCCACCTCCTGTTAAGCGGTCAAGTCCCGAAATTTTTGTCAGTTATTGTCATTGGCCACCTTTTGGTCGTCTCAATGAGGATTTGGTGTTGTCCTTACCCCTATTCAGCTACCCTCAAAATTTAATACACGTAGTTTGGCTTTGCTTTGGAAAAGGCGATCGATGAAAGAGACGAGTCCGAAATATAATTCAACCTTTGATAAAACCTTCTGCAGCACTTAAGCTTTTTCGGAACCGAGAAAGTTCGAAAAATCACCATAGAGGCCCCCAGCTGTCAGGTTTTACAGATTATGCTCAAATTTTTTACCATTGTGCTAATGCTCGATGGTCGGAGAGTCTCACTATTACGCTCGAAAGGCGTCATTATTATGCTCCATCATACTCACACGAAAAAGGTAATATATACTCTTGACGTTTTTATATTGAAGCATGAGCGACACCTCATTGTAATCTCCAATGCTCTAGCTCGGATACTGCGAAACAAGTTTTCTAGAAAATGATCAAAAAATCGCTCTTATGTAGCTGAGTTGAATTAGCAAAACCTGTTGGCATGCGCTGTGTGCACTGCGTAGACAAGTGACCGGGGGCCCGTTTCTCGAAAGCTCCGGTAACTTTTCGGGCCCGGAAAGCCATAGTAAAATCTCGAACCTTACGATTACAGAGCTGTTTTATTCAAATTTCCTTACTATGAACATAGCTTCCCTTCATACCAGAAGTTTCAGGCGTATACACTTCTCCGTTTTTAGATACAGATGAAATAAAAATGGCTTAATGGCCCAAAGAGTTTCTGGGGCTTTCGAGAAAGGGGACCCTGGCCTGCTCAAGCCGCTAAATCTTCAGCCAGTTTTTGTTAATATTATTCCGGCATAATGATAATGCTTGATTCTTTTGCCTCCGAGTATTATGCTCAAAATAATGCCAACATTATGTGTAACTACCAAAAACAGCGGAAAATTGTGCATTTTGGGGCTAATCTTAGCTATTTTCAATATCATCACGGGTCCACTGGTACATTGAATTTGATGTCGAAACTTAATTTAAATTGTCTTAAGGCACATTTATCTTTATTGAGAGTGGCAAAGCGTTTTTGCAGAGACTACACAAGGGAAACCGTGCACACGAAAACTCAAAGCAGGCGTTTTCAAATTCCTCCGGTTTGAAGTTCCGTTTTCTTGACGGATTACTCTGAACCGTAGGCCTAACCGCCGGAAATGAAGCTGTATGCGTTTTTAAATTCCTCCGGCGTAGTGTGGCACGAGTATGGAGCAAACCACGACGTCAATGAGCACCACAAAACAAAAGGCTTAATGAGCAAAACAAAGGCTGTACAAGTGTGTTCAGTAAACCTTTGTACATTTCATAGCCGCCCTCTGCAAAACAACAACGACAACAACGCAAAATGACCGCGAACGCGAACGATAAGTCTAACTGCTTATTTTTCGTATTTCCATTTAGAATTAAACGCTGTCATTTCATATTTAGCCTGAGCGAGGCTTAAGAGCCATAGGCATCCTAAACAAATTCAATTTTACAAGGCGTTGTCCTCGGCTTCGCCGTCGTCATTGTTAAGATCCCTATATTTACATCTCGGATGCTGGAAGGTCGATACACTTGTTTAACGTCATCTAAGTGACTGCTTTGTGATTTGTTCACGTTTTATTCCAAGACCAGTCGAACGCAGATGAGAGTATCGTGTAAAAACCTTAAAAATCACATAAATTGCAGCTCTTTGTCAAGGTTCCTTTTAATTCAGCGATTAAGTTGCCGAGCGTTACGGTAGGACGTTTTTGCCTCCTGCTGACTGAAACAATCTCGTTTACGTTACTTCGCCGATGTAATACCTTTTCACCC